CTGTTGCTCTTGTGGCAGCACTGCACTGAAGCCCTACCCAAGGTGGGCTAAAGTCTATGCAGTAGATGCAGAAGAACAGACAGTGGCTGTCAGGAGAATTTCTCAGTCTGAATAACAGGACTTTCCCATCATTCAGTTTTAACCACTTGCCCCCTTTCCCCCTGGAGCCAATCCCAGCTTTTTTGTTGAATGTATCTCTCAGCATTTTAAGCTGTACACAGCAAAGCAGTGCAGGGCAGGGAAGCTAAGAATGTGCTTGTACTGGTTATGCTCCCTTTCCTGGAAAATGTGAAGTGAATGAAAAACATTCTTCAAGAAGATCCCTGCCCCTCCAGGGTGGACATAGATGACTTCATTGGGGCTGTTCTCACTCTAAGTTGTCTGAGTCTTGGGCCACACAAATGATATATTTTTTCAGTGTGCTGAGGTGTGCTGGGATGCTGGCATTTCCTCCTCCTCATTTACATGGTCTTCCCATAATCTAGCACTAAGACAAGCTGAACTGCATAAGGACTCCCTGCCAATGCCACTTGGGGCTTGCTTACAGAAGACCTCTGGAGAGTGATGGGAGGTGCTCCCTGCCCTTCTCCTCTGCCTGTGAAAGGGCTGAGTGTGCTACTTCTGCAGAACTAAGCATTCCTGCCAGCCCATAAATCAAGTGAGCAAACTCTATCCCAATCTCTGATCCACTGCAGAAAAGCCCCATACTCTGCCTTTACAGCACACACAGGGCAAAGAGCTGTATTTCATCAACTGAAGCCTTAATATCAGAGGAGAGTCGTTACCTCCTGGAAAAAAAAAAAGCACAGCCAGAGTCTCACTAGTTCTGCAGCTTGGCTTCCCCATGTTTACACCAAATGACTTGTTGAACTTCATTATATACAAAGTATTTCCATAGATCAGAGGCAGGGAGACCTGCGCAGCTAACATAAAATAAATTACCACCCTGTGATAAATGGTTCTATTAGCAATCCAGATTGTTAAACTCAGATACAACAGGATGAAGGGAGCACTGCCCCATTCATTCTCCCTGCGGCAGATACTGAGTTGTAAATAGGTTATTTTGTGTGTAAATAACACATTAAAACTCAGCATTAGCCGTGTCTTTTGATAGAGAGGAAATTGTTCCAAATAAATAATTTCGGACAGGAATGTAAAATAAGCCAGATTTAATAGTGCATGCCTGCTGTAGCTGTGTTAAACATGACTAAAATGATAAACCCCAGAATATACTAATAGTAAACTATGCTCTGACATCAAAGTAATGAGGCTGTATTTTTACCCAGCTTTAGAAATGCTAAAATTAGTCTTGACAGAGCCAGACATCAGAAAAATGTTTCGAACATAAACACCATCAATTTGGGACCTTGGAGTTTGTGTCATGCAGAGGGTGGGGTGAAGAAGGAAAGGTACATTCTGGACCTTGTTAAAGTTGGGCAGTTAGCATTTAGGAGAATTTGTACTTAATTTTTATTACGAGATGAAAAACCTATCTTCCTAAATATCTCTGCCTTTGAAAGAGTGGCTCATTTAAATTTCCCCTACAGTCATATGCCTGGGCTTCCTCATGCCTTTAAGTACAGAGGATGTGTCAGTGCCAGCTGGAGGACACAACCCAGCCTCACTCGTGGTGCTCTGCACTGAACCCTCCTACCCTACACAGCAATATGGACTTTGGCATTCAACAGAAGGGTTTTATGAACTTGAATTGCTCTAAGTTGCCCTTCTAGAAGTAGAGACAATAAAATCAAGAGCCTCTTCTGCAGATCTAACTTGTCTATAGTTCCTACATACTGTCATTATAAACACTTTCCATCTCAGTCACATATACACATGTGCCCCTAACTGCCAGAGAAAAGCAGAGCTTTGACTCCTTGGCCAACATGATTTATGGAAAACCAGAAAATTAGGAGAGACTTCCCTGATGTCATATCTGAGAGGCCAATTTCTGAACATCTGATCAATAAGTTACTATAAAAAACTGTTGCAGATGATGTTTAAAATGGCAGCTTCAGAAGACTAAAAATATGGGATGCAAATTTTTAGTACAAAAGGACTCTTCTCTATTGCCAGCATCAACAATATTGATCTCTTTACCTACAGCCATAACTTAATTTGTTAGAGGCTGGAAATATTTGGGACAAATACCCAGAGCAAGGGAATTAGAAATGCAGACTGAACATATCATCTTATAATAATACAGTCTAAATAATAATATAGCCAAATAATTATTCTTCAATTATTTAACTTGTATTCCTTCAATTAATTAGAAATAAAACCTTATGAATCTATTAATTCCTACAAGTGAAAAAGAAAACCTTATGATCTGAGAAACAGCAAAACATGCTATGATGGCACTCCTCCTGTGTGACTCAGTAGAATAAAGGAGAAGAAATGTGTTGCAAATTACATTTGTTTGGCTCTGGAGAGCAGCTTGGTGATTTGCAACACTGGCTGAGCCTCAGTGCCACTTTCTCATATGCTAATACAAAGAGTAAAACCTCTGCAATAAATGAAATCAAGAATTCGCCTTGGATGAGAATAAAGACTTGCTCATATGGCCCCAAAGCAGCGTGGGGAGCTCAGAGGCCCCCCCGTTAAAGCTGATGCCCTCCTCAAGCTGAACATCCTAATTAATCTTCAAGCCTCGTTTGCTTTCTTCTGTAAAAATATGAGCATAAATACTCATAGTTCTGGCCTGTTGTGAGTAATTACTTTAGTTTAGGGAATCAAACATGTTATATTAGCACGAATACCACGTAAGTAGAGTGTCATCTCTACCCAGCCTTTTAGTTATCACCTGCTAAATCACACCTTGCAGTTGACTCAGTTAGAAGACAACTTCGTATTAATTTTTCTTCTTTCAAGCACACGCACAAGCACGCTGCTCACTTTCAGGAGCCTGTATTATGTCTGGAGTTCAAAGGAAAGCACTTGGAGCCACAAGAGCACGTGCATCACCTGCAGGGTCCTGGGGCCAGCGTCCAGCTGCTCCGCTGCTGCCCATTTTGGGTCATTTATGAGCACTTTTCTTCACAGCACAACATAGATTTCACTCTTTACATCTCATTACACAACGCTTTTATCACAATTCTCCTGACATCTTCAAACAATCCTCAACTTACTTCTCCACTTCCTCCTACTAAAAGGAGAAACATTGGGCCCATAAATCACTTTTTTCCAAAGGTGAGAGCACACTGCTAAGAGAACATATTATGCTGGATGCTTAGAAACCAATTAGGTCTCCAGGGATGCCAAATGGGCTGATGGACACTCCACCTCAGGGCATCCTCATTTGGATCTCTGGAAAGGTTGTGACTGCTTCTTCAGTGGAGGCACTCCCAAGGCAAGTGCCAAGTGGGGAGAAAGTGTTTATTCACATCTACAGGTTGTGAATTTTAGAACATGCTTGAACTATGTTGGGGCAAATCAACCCTTCAGGTCTGTCAGTCACTGACATGATACCCCCAAGTTGGCTGCCTCAGTAGTTCCTATAGCCTTTGCTTCTTCAGGGATTTGCTGGGGGATGCCAAGCTGTTGCTTGCATGCACATTGCTGTCCCTCTTATTTCTGCTTCCTAGCAAGCCTTCCTTTCTGCCACTTTGTGCAGCACTCACAAGGAAAGTGGCTCAGACCCACCCAGGACCACAAAACCCATCCAGGACCACAAAACTGTGTTTCCCTCCAAACAATTTTGTCAAAGACTTTCTGGTTGCTTTTAAGAAAAAGTTTGTCAAACACGTGAACTAATCTGATAGATTATAATCTGTGCATCTGAATCTTCACAGGTCAAATGGAAAAAGAAACCTGACTAGCAAAGTTTATGACAAAGGAGAGATAAAGCAGATTGGAGCCTTTTTGGTCAAAAACAATCTTCAAAACTCAGGCAACAAAAAACTCAAACTCCCCAGCCAATGCAGGTAAGAAAGAGAGGAGGTCAAAGAAGAGCAGTTCTGCTCTCCTGGGATGATGAAAAACCACCCTGCAGTGAAGGAAGAGGAGGGGACAGCTTCATTTTGAGGTAAACGCTGGCTAGCAATAACGTATATTACAAAATGAAAAAAAAAGCTGCCTGCAAAGTTTACACAGCTGGGGTGTCTCTTGTCCCATCCAAACTCGTGCAGCCTCTTCTAAATTTGTCTCTTATACCCTGTCCAGAGATGACAACCAGTCCCCAGCAAGGGCAGCTATGGAGGCTCCCCAGTGGGCACAGCCTTGCCCACAGCTGTGCCACCATGATGGGCCCTGGCACTACTCTGGAAATCCACCAGCACACCTGTACCACAGATGGGTGTGGATTTTGCCTGCTACAGCATGCAGGAGGAGGCAGGAGCAAAATCCCTGCACTTTCACCTGCACACCACAGTTACACCCACCAGTAATGGTTCCATGCCTGCAGGTGTCCACAAGAGCTTCCCAGTTGACTTCAACAGCAGCAAGACCAAAATCTTGCTTAACACACTGACTTGAACAGGAATGGCAAGTGGAGGGGTTTCTGTATGAACATTCTTGCCCAGGATCTGGACATTAATTCCTCTCTAACCATGAAATCCCAGCAGCAATTGCTGAAGACCATGCAGTCTGTTTAGCTCATTAGCAGGATCACAGCTGGCACATGACACCCCTTTCTGACCAGGATAATGAGGTGCTCCCCATCTCCAGCAGCCTCACCAGGCAATCTTTAACTCCAGCATGGAGGAGTGGAGTGCTGCTAACACTACACAGCACCAGTCAGCTGGTGGCAAGCATTGAGGGGATGCCCCAACTCCCCCACAGCCACCCCTCACCACCCATCCCCTCCCTCACTCCAGTCCAGCTCTCCATCACACTACAAGGACGTTTAGATGCCAGCAGCGACACAGCTTCCAGTTCCTCTGACAGCCAAGAACCCCAATAAACTCAGCGTGTTCACAGGAAGACAGATGCCACCATACTTATTAAATTCTTACAGTCTAATGAAAAACACCCCTGCTGCTTTCAAACTGTAGAAAACAAAGTACCTCCTTGTGCCACTGCTGCTCCCACTGCTGCTAAAGGAGGGGGTTTCTTCCCCGTCTCTGTAAAGCCATTCCCCTCCAGAACAGCACCTTTCCCTTCTTTTTTCCCAGCAGCTGTCGAAGCAGAAGTTTCCATCTTAGACGGGCATCTTCCAGCTCAGGAACCCTACAGGACAGAAAACAAAAACAGATTCTGGTCACCACTCACAAAACAGGCAAAATCAGCTCCATGAAGCGGAAGATGGTTTGGCAGAGTTCAAAAGCAAATGGCAAGCAGCAGAGAATTCCTGGGTTCCTAACTCCAGCAATGCAGCCAGTCCCAGAAGTCGGAGGCATAAAGGACACAACTATGTAAAGGGCTGGGTGTTCTCACAGACCTACAAAGACCAGGATCAAAAAACAATCCCCAGCTAAACTTGGGCTACACAATAAAGTTTACAGGTCCAAAGGGTTTTCCAGGATTATAGAACAGGTGAGATACAAATATTTAGCACATTTAAAATGGATTTATCCATGGTATACGTGACACAGACCATCCTAAGAAAAAACTCAGCAAAAAATTTCCAATAAAATACAGATAAACATATATTTTAAGTGGTTCCTTTTTCTATCCCACTGTGGGTGCTTATGCTGTGGGCTGGTTTGGAATCAGTGTCATGATCAGAACTTTTCAGCAATGCTTACAGATAAGCCACAGCAGTTCTGCCACATCCCGTCAAGTTCTCACTGGTGAAGTCTAACAAACACTGATCCCTCTCTCTCCCAAGAAAGTTCTTCTGTCCTGAACAATTGCATCTGAAAATCAGCCACAGCTTTACCCCCATTACAGACGGTGAATTAAATGCCATGAGATATCCACAAAACAAGAAGATACCAAAGTAGAAATAACCTGGGTTTTTAAACTTATGTTGATAAAAAAGCAGCTCCTGAACTTTTGCCAGCTTGACCATTTTTTCTGCATGATTCAGACTTAAGTAGTCTCCCAAAAGCAAACATATGGGTATCCCAAATTTAGTGTAAAAACAGGGTGTCTCTTAAATGAGGAGGCATACTTTGTTCTGAATGCAAATACTTTGTTCCCTTCATTTTACCTTGTTTGATTTCCCATGTCTTCACCTGACTCCTGCTTGCATACAACCAGCACAGTTACCTGGCACTAACCCCTCAGGCTGGTCTTGGGAAAACCCACTGCTAATTCCTCTTTCCTTTCTAATTTTAATGCAGATCTGCAATTCTTCACATGCAAATTTTCAAATGCAAATTTTTCAGCTCCTGAAATACTCTGGAGTACACTGGCTGTTTACCTTACTGGAATTAATGGGATCAGGGGAATATAAGGGAAACCAGAACATTTTTGTGTGTGTGTGTGTGTGTGTGTGTAGTTTTATCACCATTGTGCCAATTCAAAACTTCCCTCCCTTTGCTCTGGAGGACTGACTGACTCCTGAACATATTGAACTAATAGATAAAACTCCCCTAAAAACTTTAAAGCACAAGAATTCCCAGCCTGCGAGGGACCTGGTGCCTGGTGGTTGTGGAGGACTGCCTGGGCTCTGGGAGAGCAGTGTCCCACCAAGCAGCTGTGTGCTGCAGCCTGAGCAGCTCATCCCAGGAGCCTTCAGGCATGGCTCACACTAATGGGACAACAAAGTGATGGATCTGTGGTCACAGTCTGCAGCTGTAAACTGCAAAGCTCGTACTGGAAATGACAGGACCTACAATTACAGGCTTTACTGATGACACAAGGCTCCACTGAATACTGAGGTGGCCCCTCAAGGTCCTGCCCCGGCATGTGCTGGGCTTGATGGCAAGCATGAGATGGGTTCCTGGGGGCCAGGACTTTACAGTGGTTTAATCCAGGAATCAGGTTGGGTTACAGGCCACGTATGAAATAAATACACCCGAACTGCAGGAGTATTTGACCTAGGTCTGACAGCCTGGGCTTCTGTTCGTTAAGCAAATAAACTTCAGAGGCTCTATTACGAACCCCCCACCTGTTTCTTCTTAGTCCCTCCTTTCAAGGCTTTGCACTTTTGTTTGAAACCAGACGCTGGCCCTCGCACCCCAACCCCCCTTCTCTGGGTACCCTGACCCTGGGGGCAGCCCGGGGGTGAGGGAGCATCCTCGGGCACTGCAAAGCTCAGCAGCCAGCGAGGGAAGGAAGGAACTGGTAATAGGACTTGTTCTGTGAAACATGCAGATTAGAGCCATGGTTTTTTTCCAGAGATGCCTGAAGCAAAATCTCTACATCCCTGCCACAGACACCTCGGTAGGGACCCAGTTTTTCAGATGTGTCATTTATCCAACAGGAATGTGACAGGAGATCATGCCTGTACTTGAAAATCTGGTCTTTGCAGTTGTATTGCTCTCTTTTCAGATGAATTATGAATTTAAAACAATATTCAAGTGCTTGTTATAAGTGGTTGTATTAAACAAGTAAATCCTCAAATACCAGATTAGAAAAAAAATAAATAATATAACTACTCTAATCTCACAGGATTTAGGGTAATAAGTCTATAATTATTTTTGCTTCGTAAAGGTGCCTGGGGCAGAGCAGGCTGACTATAAGGTTCCAAGCTTTTTCCCAAGTCAGCAACAACTAAAAGTCATTTTCCTTTCACAGTACCCCACAGCCAGAGCTGATCACCTCAGCCCAGGAAGACACAAGCATCCTTCCTGCCAGATCCTGCTCTGCTCAGCAGCTCTGCCCACAGACCAGGACAAAGACCAGTGAGCAAAGGAGCACCAACACTGATTTCATATCCCACTTTCTGAAGTTTTACAGACGGGCCAAGAGCTGGTGTCCAGCGGCCTTTGCAGTGGTGTGATGTGTGACCAGGACACAGCACTGGAACTCTGGAGATTTAGGTTCCCATCATGGACCTGCTACAGTCTCTTCAGTGTCTCTGGGCAAAAAGCTTAACTTCTCTCTTGCAGCCAGTTTCCACAGCCATAAAATAGGAAGTAGTACTTTGCCCTATTTGCAAAGTGCTTTGAGATCCTTTGAGGCACAAGGCTATGGAAGTGTTTTTATTACCAGCATAAGAAGATATATTGGTGGAGGCAGTCAATCCACACTATCCAGGAGCACAACATTCATTTTTAAGCAATGCATACTTTGCTTTCTGTTCGATGCTAAACTTTTTCCGCTGCTCTGTGCCACACAGAATTTATAAATTCAATGACAGATTAATCTTAGCAGTGAGCTATTTGGCATGAAAAAGGGTTTCACAGGGAGCCTGCTTTTTCCTGTAAAGAGCATGCATTTAGGAGGGACTATACAGAGAAAGACCCTATGCACTTATTCAAGCACAACTCTCTGCCCTCCGTCATTACTCAGAATTAGAAAACCAGAATGGATTACTCAGATTTTTCCTAAGGTTTGTAGCTTTCTCTGCAGGAGCAGGGCTGGATAATTGATTTTGACACTAATACCAGCACTATTCATATGCCCTGTAATGTAATTCTGCAGTGACACTAAAAAGGCAGCCATCTGAGATCTGAACAAGGAAAGTGCTATATGATTTGCCCTAGACAACCCTAGCTATTTTAACAGCTGTGTTGTATATTAAAAGGGAGAAATCCCAACAGAATTAAAAACAACAAAGTCACATTTGCCTTTGAGGGAAAACAAGAAGCCATAAACTTTCCTAATAAAACAATCCCTCCCCCAAGTGCTTGAGGAATGGTCTAAACTGCTGTCTGAAAATGCTTTTCTCTTTTGGAGGGCATCAGCCTGAGCAGGACTGCTGGCAAACCTAGGAATGAACAGATACTCATCAGCCATACCCTCTGCACACCATTTTTTTTAAAGGCAATTATTTCCTTCTTCAGAATTGTTCTTTCATCAGGAAACCCCCTTCTCCTCCCCAAAAAAGAAAAAAAAAAAAATTTTTTTTTCTTCTCTGTGAAAAAGGAATGAATTTTGCCTATTTCTGCTCAAAGATTAAGCAGCACCATGGGAGTGATCCTCTCTGGCAGAGGGCAGGCACTGCCAGTGACACTGTGACTCAGATTCAATCCTGAGTGCCACCTTCAAGCCTGATAGCCCCATGGAAGGGGCAGGAAGGGAGTTCCAAAGCATGCTTCCAGAAGCCATCTCATCTTTTGGGAATATTTTGGGCTTTCTCAGACCAGTGTGCATTCTCTCTTCATTCTGAGTTCATCTCCACTTGACCTCCCCACACACAGCCCAAGCAGTGCCAGTGAGGTGGTGTCACCTCCAGGGGACACGCTGGAGGTGTGCTGGCAGTACCACAGCCAGTATCCATTACCACTGCTGCTGGCTCCTGGCAAGGCTGACGGGAGCTGGGATAACCAGGGGCAGCCTCTGCACAGCTCTCACCAGGTTTATGCTCAGGCACCCACAGGGAGACAGTCAGTTCTGCCACATCAGCCCCATGTAGGTGATGTAGGGTGTACAATCCCAGGTTTGATAGCTTTTCCTGGTGTGCTGCTTTAGTTAGAATAAACAAGGACATACTCCCACCCTCTCTTCTTTTGCAGTGGACTGTGTCATACAGCTAAAGCCTTCTGAATACACGATCCACTTATGAAATTCAGTGTGAGCCAACTGCTCTGAACACTGGCTTAATAATACAGTGGCCGCCGTGATCCTTTTCAGTCTCCCAGGGTTTAAGCCAAATTATGTTCTCAATTACACGGAAGTAGCAGCAGTTAACCTGGTGAAGTCATAGGCTCTGTAGCACAGCAAAACTTGACCCCTCTATTTTCTTTTATATCAGCAAATGCTTCAAATTACTAAGAAAGTTTTTCTGTCTAAATGCCACTAGTAAATCTTGGGACTATCCAAACATGCTGTCTGCTGCTGAAGGACCTACAACTGTTTACAGACTATCAATCTCAGGTAAAAGCAGCATAAATACTACTTCAGAATGAATCACTTTTGAGGTCCTCCTGACAAAAGGTTTCCCATCTTGACATTTCTTACAAATGGTTTGCTTGGGCCAATCCTACAGGATTGATTAAACATGGAAATTAGAGCTGTGCACTGGGGCAGAAGCTCACTGTCTGGGGGCTGCTCCTGCGCCCTCCCCTCAAAAAACCTTCTGTGGTGGGTCCTTACCAGCTTCTGGGATGAAAGGAAGCAGAGACAAACCCATGCTGGCAGAAGCAGTGCTAGAAGAGCACAGAGCTGCTATGGGG